GGGTCGCGGGGAGGGGGGGAAGGAGCCCAGAGGGAGCAGGGGGCCTAGAGGGACGAGGTGGGCGAACAACAGGAATGATGATGCTGCTGCTGCTGATGGTGATGATGATGATGATGATGATGATGATGATGATGATGATGATGATGATGATGATGATGCTGATGCTGATGCTGATGCTGATGCTGATGATGATGATGATGATGAAGAAGATGATGATGATGATGATTATGATGATGATGGTGATGGTGATGGTGATGGTGATGGCGATTGTGATTGTGATGGTGGTGATGACGATGATGCTGATGATGATGCTGATGCTGTTGCTGATGAACGACGGTGGTGGTGATGGTGATGGTGGTGATGATGTTGCTGCTGCTGATGATGATGATGGTGAAGAAGAAGAAGAAGGTGATGATGATGATGGTGGTGGTACTGGTGATGTTGATGATGATGCTGATGATGCTGATGATGCTGATGATGATGCTGTTGTTGATGATGGTGACGATGATGATGGTGGTGGTGATGGTGGTGGTCATGATGATGAGGAGGAGGAAGACGAGAGGAGGAGGAGAAGGAGAAGGAGAAGGAGGAGGAAGAAGGAGAGGAAGAGGAGGAGGAGGAGAAGCTGGAGGAGAAGCTGGAAGAGGGGGTGGATGAGCAGAATGATGAATATAAGGGGGAGGAACAGGAGCACGAAGAGGAGGAGAAGGATGATGAGGAGGAGGGGAAGAAGTAATAATGAAATAGGGGAATCACTAACGATGACAAAGACGGAACGGGACGACGAGATGGATGAGGAAGAGGATGGGGTTGACGGGGATCATTAGAAGCGGCTGCTTGGGCATATGTGTATCATATATCGATACATCAGCAGCAGCTGGAGGACTTGCAGCACCAAGTGTGTGGTGGTGCGCGCAGTTCTAGTGCTGGCAGTCGACGGAAGCAACGCATGTGAACATGAACTAGAGTTTTGCCGGGAGAGAAATCATGCATGTGCATTGTCTTTCGACGTGTTGTTGCCAATCCGAAGAGATATGGTGCACGTTGAAGGGTTCGGTTTCTACACTGCGCGCCAGCATCATTTCATCATATCATTGTGACGTTGAACTTGATTTAGTTTGTGATGCCAACTTAATGTCATGGTTCGTGTAGTTTGTTACCCGCTTGATGTAAGTGTGTCGTTTGGCTATCTATCACCGCACCATATGATTTGAGAGAGGTTTTGTGGACGCCTGCTCTGGGACACGAGTACATTGAGTTCTGCACGTGGGGGTTGTTGTGAGACCCTGTGAGACCGTCGTCGTCGGCGTCGGCGTCGGCGTCGTCGTCGTCTTCGTCGTCGTCGTCGTCGGCGTCGGCGTCGTCGTGGCCGTCGCCGTCGTCGTCGTCGTCGTCGGCGTCGTTGACTTCGTCGTCGTCGTCGGTGTCGTCGTCGTCGGCGTCGTCATCGTCGTCGTCGTTGTCATCGTCGGCGTCGTCGTCGGCGTCGGCGTCGTCGTCGTCGTCGTCGTCGGTGTCGTCGTCGTCGTCGTCGTCGGCAGCGTCGTCTTCGTCGAAGTCGTTGGAGACGTCGGTGTCGTCGTAGTCGTTGTCGGCGGCGTCGTCGTCGTTGTCGCTGTCGTCGTCGGCGTCGCTGTCGTTGCCAAGTGCCATTTGGTACCCATCGTCACGGTCTTAAGAGATTTTGCAAACCAAGTTGCGGGTGGGTGGGTGGGATGTTTGCGCGAGCAGTGGAGGTGGTCAAGCGCGGTGCAGGGTAGTCAACATCCATCATAGGTGCTTCCGCACAAATTAATGCAGTGGCCGTCGGGCCATCCCGCAACTGTGCTCCAGGTCGCGACCAAGGGGCCTCTGGGATGCCTCCTGGAAGCTTCGGGGGCCTCCCGGGGCCCTCCTGGAGGCCTTGTGGGCGGCCTCTTGGAGCCTCCCTGGGGGCCGGCCTGCGGTTGGGCCTCGTGGGGACTTGCTGGATCTCTGGGCCGGGGCAGGATGCAGCCCCCCAGGGACGGCGAGGTCCCGCTCAGGCCCGCGCGGTGCCTCACTCCGCAGGACCCACCAGCAGCCCTCGAAAGAGGCGACAGTTTCGCAGATCGCAGCCCCCCAGGGACGGCGAGGTCCCGCTCAGGTCCGCGCGGTGCGTTTCGGCGTCCGGGGACCGCCTGCGAGCTCCTGGACCCTCGGAGGTGGCCCTTCGCGCGCGGAGCAGCCACTCCCAGGAGGGCCGAGAGGCCGCCTCGGGGGCCCCGCGCCCGTGGCACGAAGCTGCGGCGCTGGAGGCCGTGGGGCTGGCCAGAGGAGCCACGAGCCGACCGCATCCGCTCGCCTCTGCGCTTCGAAGGGGGGCCCATCTCGACCCGATCGATGCGAATCCTGGCCAGGTCCCGCTCGGCTCCTGTGTTCCGACGGTCCCGGTGCGGCTCGATGTCTGCGCGGTTCTCTGGGGCAGTCTCTCAATACTCGATGCTGGCTGTTCTTGCCCGAGGGACAGGACAAGGCTTCC